TGGCGACTCGAGAGAGAGTGATAGCAGCACAATTCATAATTGCGAAGGCTGTGAAAACAGCCAAGTGGTGTCCTTCAATCCAAGAATGGATTAATAAAATGTAGGTATATTTATACCATGGAGTACCATTCAGCTCTAAGAGAACAATGGAGCTGCAGCCATCTATATTTCCTTGTTAGAGCTGGAACCATACTACTAAGTGAAGTTTCCAAGAATGGAAAAACAAGCACCACATATACTCACCAGCAATTTGGTATTAACTGAATAGCACCTAAGTGGTCACATAGGTACTACAATAATAGGGTATTGGGCAGGTGGAGGGGGGGGGGGCGGGTATATACATACATAATCGAGTGTAGGGAGCTCACAGTCTGAGTTCCCCTGAGTCAGCTGTAGGGTCCCAAAAGGGAAGGTCCCATTCCCTGGAGGTGCCTCTGGCTGGTGGCTGTATTGGCTCTCTGGGCAGCTGCAGGTAGGGTCAGCGGAGGGGAGGAGGAGGCAATATGGCCCTGCCGCGCAGCTCGAGTCTGTGCACACGGGGGTGCCCGGAGGAAATTGGGAACCTGGTGCCATGGCTGCTACAGGCTCACCGCTGGCTGGCGGCGGCCTTCTCTGGCCTGGTGTCCGCAGGTCTCTCCACCCGCTGGGGAGCCCACCAGCAGTCCCAAATGCAGGGGACGGGAAACAGCAAATCCACCTACCCTTGCCGCTGGTCTCTGGGCCGCTCTGGTGGTCTCAGCCTCCAGTTCTCCTCCGCTGCCTCCTCCGATGGAGTCTCCCGGGGTCTCAGGTACCCCTCCTTCCGGCCCTCGTCTGCTGTATGCTCGTCTTCTTCCTTCTTTTTTCTAATTTCTGCTAGAATAAATCCGTCTTTTCTGCAGAGACACTCTGTCTGGCAGTGTTTCTCCTCTATTTTTTAATTATTATCAGTCTAAACTCTTTCTACTTAATCCTGCAGGAGCATGCCTGTGATGAAGAATATGAGCTACAGACTATGACTGCTGATTAGACAAGAGCTGCACCAAGGTGATAAGCAATTAGTAATATTCATGCAAAATGTTTCTTTTTCCTTATTTTAAACATTCTCTCTCCTTCAGAGAAACAGATGGGGTAAGACAACTGAGAACAGAGATCTGTTTTATGGATGATACTATTACTTTTGAGATTATATTTATATTTGTTGAATACCCTTTGATGCACATATTCTGATTTTTAGAGAGAAACTTATCTAAGATATGGTTTGTGAAAATCACACCAGAGTCACTGAATTTATTCTTCTTGGTATTACAAACAACCCCGAGATGCAAGTTTCCCTCTTCGTTTTGTTCCTGGCCATCTATACAGTTACTTTGTTGGGCAACTTTCTTATTGTCACAGTTACCATGATGGATCCTGCTCTTCAAACACCCATGTACTTCTTTCTCCGAAACTTATCCCTTCTTGAAGTCTGTTTCACCTTGGTCATGGTACCGAAGATGCTGGTGGATCTAGTGTCTCCAAGGAAAATCATCTCTTTTGTGGGCTGTGGAACCCAGATGTACTTCTTCTTCTTCTTTGGCAGCTCTGAATGTTTTCTTCTCTCTATGATGGCTTATGATCGTTTTGTGGCCATCTGTAACCCTCTCCGTTATTCAGTCATAATGAATAGATCTCTATGCCTGTGGATGGCTGCAGGCTCTTGGATGTCTGGTGTTCCTGTGTCTATGCTGCAGACAGCTTGGATGATGGCCCTTCCTTTCTGTGGACCAAACACTGTAGACCATTTTTTTTGTGATGGTCCTCCAGTGTTGAAACTAGTCACGGAAGATACAACCATGTATGAAATGCAAGCGCTTGCTTCCACACTCCTGTTTATCATGTTTCCCTTTTCCCTCATTTTGGTCTCCTACACCCGCATTATTACAACCATTCTGAGGATGCCTTCTGCTTCTGGTCGCCAGAAGGCATTCTCTACTTGTTCCTCACACCTCATTGTGGTATCCCTTTTCTATGGAACAGCCAGCCTGACCTACCTACGGCCCAAATCCAACCAGTCCCCTGAAAGCAAAAAGCTAGTGTCATTGTCCTACACTGTCATCACCCCTATGTTAAACCCCATCATCTACAGCCTAAGGAATAATGAAGTGAAAGGGGCAGTCAAGAGGGCAATCACTAGAAAAGTCTTGCAGAAGTTAGATGCATTTTGAATCCTATTGTGTAGAAGTTTTAAAACAAAGTAGGAGCAACAGAACCCGCTAACAAAAGCTTAAAAGGAAGGAGTAGAAGAGTTGCTCGTATTTCATCAGTGTCATTTACTGTGGTAGATGCATCTCAGTGTATCAGTCAGGGTCCTAGCAAGAAAGACATGGTATTCTCCAATTGAGATAATGAGGAAAATCTTTGTGAGAGAGCTATTTTAAAACAGTCCATACAATGGAAATGTCATACTTCTTGGCCTGAAACGTAAGGTAGAAAGAAGAGTATTAACTGGAACCAGGAGAATGCTACAACTACCAAAAAAAAAAAAAAAAAAAAAAGTCACCTAACAAGATCTTTGTTCTTTTGTGAAGGTGGCCATACAAAGCTTATTTTATTCTGACTCTCTCCAACCTATTGCTGGATTCTGTTCTCTGTCAAACCAAATATGACACAGGGAGCAAGAATGTCTTTAATGCAGTATATAAATGCGAGCTTTCTAAGGTACAGAGCAGGATGGAGAAGGGTAAAAACAGTTATGAAGGGGAAATGAAAATACCTACCACAAACCACATATATTCTGCAGCTAATGGGATGCAAAGATGAATCATGTAATGTGTTTTAAATGACTTTTTTTTAAAATGGATAAATGGTGGAGTTTCGTATATGCCAAGAATTAATGATGCAAGTTCTTTATATGGATTGCATGTTTAAATAAGTTTATTTAATAAAATTACCTTAGTATTAATATTTGGTGGCATGATTCTGGACTTTTTTGGTTCTTGGCTAAATCAGCCATTACTTAGTTAGTAATTCCCTATTCTTAGACTTTAAACAACATAGTAAAACAAAAGAGTAATAATAATAGGAAACATGATTAATGGAAGCATTGCCTTTAACACATGCCCTTGCAACAACTCAAGAGATAAATCTTTTTATATTTTTATTTTTCATAAAAGACAAATTATGATTAGAAACTGCAAGTAACTTGACAAGAAAAAAGTTATTGCGAAATAGCCACAATAATTTGAACCCATACTCTTCGGAATTTGAAATCCAATATATTAACCTTGTAAAAATCTCTGGTCACATTTTGTCACCTCCTACATGATTATTTGGCTTTCAAAACAATGGAAAAGACAAAATGAGATTGAATCAAATTTAATTTTGGACAGTATTTTATATTTCCAGTAACATAAGCACATATATTGGCTTTGAATAAGAAACATGTACAATGATATAAGTTCCTCTAAGTCTTCATTAGCCAATGTTTCTCTTAATAGTACAATGTCATCTTCAAGCAGTAACCAAGGTCCATCATTCATTGTCAATTTTCAGGAAAGCTTGAAAGCAACTACAAATTTGCAACTTACAGTGACTATTTTAGTTTAATTTTGATTTGCTGAAGTATATATCCATTGAGTGTAATGGAAGTTTGAGGCAGAAAAAATCTGTTCCTTTAAATATTTCTCCTTTAACTTGAATTTTTTAACTTGAATTAATGTTACTAAGTGTAATTCTATCTGTCAAGATTCTTTTGCAATGTTTTCTACCAACTGTATATGACTTATGAGTAGGTTATGAGGTTGTAAAATCAATTTAGTAGTACATATGTATGTGTTTAACAAATTAGCACAGTAAACATAGAATAAGTAATATTTGAAAAGATCTTATGAGTATTCCTGACACACAGGAAACACTTTCTGAGTGTTTGATATTATTCTCAAAATAATATAGAAAATATGGAGTGGGTGCTATATATTGAATAGTATCTTTTAGTTATGCATATCCTATATATACTATATACTGTTTGAAATGTAGAATTATTTCTTTCTGTAAGATGTAAACAGGAGATGTTAATGAGGCATATATCTATTGCATATCCTGTGTGATTTATACTCCAGGACTTTTAGCAGGTAATTGATAATATAATTAACTGTACTTCAAATAGTTTTATTAAAATTGATGAGCCACAAAGTCTTCATGGAACTCACTTTTTGTTTGTTTAATTTTTTTTAGCCTCAATTTACAAGTTGATCTTTTTCTTAAAATTTCCAACAGCTAATTAATAATGTCATTAGTATATCCAAAACGATAATTGAAAAGATTTATTTGGTGAGTTATTATCCCAAATAAGTGCCCTCTAAAATTTTCATAACTAACAGTAACTCTAGAGTCTCTCTTTGGAACAAATATTATCATCATTGTTTTTATGGTGATATGACTGACTTTTTGGTTTTAGTGAAAAAAATACTTTTCAAAACGTCCTTCCTAAGTTTACAATTTTGTAGGCCACTTCTAAATGTATGTCCCATCTTATCACTTACAACCAATTCTTGAAGTATCTCTTCTAAATGTCCTTAAGTTTGAGTGTCTAAGGATGCTTCCAAAGTTCAAATTTGTCACAGCTAATATAAGAATTAGTTGAATATCAGTTGAAGATCAGCTAGTGTACATATTATCCAATACTGTCACATATGTGGGAGCTGAGGCAAGAATAAAAAGAAATCAACATTGTTTATATTTCAATGCAGCTTAAAAATTTCATTTCAGTTTATCTCAGTGGCAGTGAAGTTTAATTAGTGAATATAATCCGATGTATAATGTTCCTTTATAGTTATATTTTAACATGCAATAAATAAAACTGTCCTAAAGGAGTTTTAAATTTGGTTAGGAGATAAAAAAATTAAGTAAAATTAGTTAGGAAAAATAAAATTATCTAATGAAGTGATAAAGCAAAATTCTCAGTTGCCAAAATCAATGCTACAAAAATATAAAGGAATAAACACTTATAAACTCCTATTATAAATGAATATTGACAGTAAGCATTGTGAATATTTGATAGTGGAGAGAATAAAAGTTGGGTAAAATAAGTTATAATAGGATTTAATTGTGGAATGAAACTCACAAACATGGTAGTCAGTTACCTGTTAACTTGAATTCAGAATCAAGCACTCAGTATCAATATGATAGTGAAAAATTATTTCTCAGCCATAAGTAATCATTTCTGCACAAGTTTATTATGAAGTCCTGTGAGTTCTCATTGTGCTATAACTGTTCAATTTTTTCAGATAGGAGTGGACAATCATCACAGGGGGTGTTGCTTAGCCTTTGAACTCACTATCTGAGGCTTAGTAGAAGGCAGAGACATTTCCTATAGAGAAGATGAGAAGGTCAGATAATGTATTTTACCAGATTTCCTTACAGCTAATTTGTGAGCATGTAACCTAAGTTCAAATAATCAGATTTTAAAATGTGCTATAATGCAAGGAAATGAGGCAGTAGGGGTTCACATGGAGCCAGTGATTCCCAGTGTCCAGGAGCAACCAAGATGGAAGTGGCAGTGGTGGGGCCTGATGTCCAGTGCCAGTAGGACAATCTTACGCTGTGCATACAGATTTTAGATGTGCCACTACATTTAAAATTATGTTTACACAGATTCTGGAGTATGCTTTTGGATTGTCACTGTAGTTCTGATTGTTCACCCATTTTTCTTCCCAGTTTCTGTGCTGTGCCCTCATCAATATCTTCTCAACATTTTTTTTCCTGTATAAGTCAGCAAGAGTCAGTTTCAGTTTTTTGGCGATGAAGAATTCTGATAGATATAAAACCAGACATCAAGAAACATACATCATTTCTAAGTTCAGTCAAAATGGTTCATATGTAAGTCTTGTGGAAGGTATTCTAATTCTACAGGAAAATAATTTATATACACATGTCATCATCATCATCATGGTATGTAGAGACAGGGCTCCCTCTTGATCATAAATTAGACATGAATTCTCTGTGAGTGTCTGGAGGGGGTGCAGAAACAATTTTTAAAAGAGTCTTTGGATGAGAACCTAAATATGATAATGGTATGTCCATTTTCAGATAAGTTGGATTTGTTTTCTATATAAAACCATGGGCAAATTTGTGGAAAAATGGCTAATAGAAGAAAAAACAAGATAATTATTTCAACTAATTTACAATCTTACTGTGAATAAAAACCATATATGAATAAAACAAAATCAAATGTGGCAGAAGAAACACTAATCTTAGTTCCTTCTTTTCTTTAAAAGTTTTTTTTTATTTTTAATTTACAAGTAAAACTTGTATATATTTATAGTATACAACACAATGTTTTGATATATATATACACATACATTGTGGAATGACTAAATCAAGCTATTTTAACATATACATTACCTCATATACTTGTCCTTTTCTGTGTGTGGTAAGAAAACCTAGATACCCTTTCTGATTCTTTTATTCACTATCTTACTGATTTTGGTCAAGCTAGAAACTATTTGATAATCACTTTGATCATTTATAAAAGAGATGGTTCTAAAACTATAAGATATTAAATTTGACAACAACAAAGGATAAGGAATGTCTTGTGTTTGACATAGGAACATGCACAGTGGAGGGTAAAAAGGCCATGAAGAAACTGAGTTACTTTTCATGTTAATTGGTATTTTCTCTTATTCTTACACACAAAGGATTGAGCTTTTATATTAATATTTTTTCATAAATTTACAGCCTGTGTTTATAGCCTATAGATATTCATGGTATTTTATTTCTCTTAATCATCTTCCATAAAATGTACAGGATCACTGCTGAGGATTGTTTGTATCCCCCAAAAAGCTATATTGAAGTACTAACCTTTGGTACCTGTGAATGTGACCTTATTTGGAAATAGGGCATTTGCAATGCAATCGATGTAAGATGAGGTTATACTAGACAAGGGTGGACCCTAAATCCAGTGGCTAGTTTCCTTATATAAGGAGAGAGAGATTTGGGAACACAGAAACTTAAAGACACACAGGGAAGACAGCCACATGAAGAAGGAGGTAGATAGAAATTGGAGTGATGTTGCTATAAGCCAAGGAACACCAATGGTTGTTGGCCATCACCCCAAGCCATAAGGAGGCTTGGAACAGATTTTTCCCTGAGAGTCTTCAGAAGAAATAGATATCATGCTACCATCTCAGTTCCAGACTTCTGGTTTCCTGAACTGTGAGAGGATAAATTGCTGTTGTTTTAAGCACCCAGATAAGTGATTAGTACTCAGGTGATTAGTCATGAGCTATGTGGTACAGCCATGCCTTTTTAATGTGGCTTTGCAGTTTCTCTCAACAGGGTGGTGTCTATCTCCCTATCCCTTGAATCTGGAAGTATATATAGAGAAGAATATGTTTTTGCAAAAAGAATGTGACAGAGGGAATGTTCCACCATTCAGAATGTAAGAGTCAACAAACTATGAACACATATACTCTCTCTCTCTCTCTCTCTCTCTCTCTCTCTCTCTCTCTCTCTCTCTGGCACCCACTTGATTCTTACGAGAACAAGCCAGAGCTAC